AAGATCCCAAGAGGAGAATGGAGGAGAAGGGATTGCGGCGTGACCATTCCCCCTGGGGGGGTGATTTCTCGCTTTCTGTCTCTATGTCTCTGTCTGGCGAGCGCATGCGCCCTATAGCAAAAATCTCTCCAAAAAAAAAAAAAAGTAGGCTGACTTTACCTAAAAATACAGACTACAATGGTATGGGTCCTAAGAAATATCTACTCAGGGAGAAGGAGTAACTCAATGAGCATTTCTGCTGTCCCTCTTGCCACTTTATTTGGAACTAAAACATAATCTATTCTCTTAGTCCAGCTATAATTAGATCATAAAAACTAGGGTTTCTTCAGACATTTCCTTAACTAGAGGGTCATAGGCACAGACGTTAAACTAGTGATTATTATTATTTTACAATTTTTGCTATAGGGTAAGTATGCTCACCAGAGAGAAAGACACAAAAGGAAAGTGAGAAATCAAAATCACCCCACAGGGAGGATGGTCACACCACAATCCCTTCTCCATTCTCTCTGGATTTGGGCATGCACACACATGTGCCTGGCGTGATTTCCAAGCTGCCATGTCTGGGACTTGCCAACACAACCAGCCGCGTGGGATCTAGTACCTTAATCACCACGCCCCTTGCTAGCCCACTACTGGTTATTATTTTAAAACTAATTATGCTGGCTTTTTCATTAAGTAAAAGTTCAGAAAGTACTAAATTAGCAGATTATACAGAACATACTTAAGATTCGTTTAAGATATTTTACAAGGAAGTGAGGAATGGACAAATATTAACTATTTTTTTTAAAGGTTTTTGCCATATGACGAGTGTAGTTGCCAGAAAAGAGACAGTGAAGGGACCAGCAGTTGGCGTAATGGCTATGCTGCTAGACTCCCACATAGTCAACCGCAGTTCCAGTCCTGGACCTGGTAGCTTAAACTCACGCCGGGCGCGAGTGCGTGCCTGCCCAAGATCCCGAGAGGAGAATGGAGAAGGGATTGCGGCATGGCCATCCCCCCTGGGGGGTGATTTCTTGCTTTCTGTCTGTCTGTCTGGCGAGCACACACGCCCTATAGCAAAAACCTCTCCAAAAAAATAAATAAATAAAAGAGACAGTGAGAAGGAAAGTGAAAAATCACCCCCTTCAAAGGGGGAAATGGCCAGGAAGCAATTTTTTTTTTAACTTTTATTTACATTTATTTTATGCTGACTTTATTACTCTCCTGTAAGTTTTTGTTTCTTCAGGGCTATCTTTTTCTTCTGTGTGACTTTCTCTTCTACTTCAGGAACAATTTGCTTCTTTTAAGTGAGGATCATCTTGATGAGGCAGGGAGAGCTCATGTATGCATTAATCTGCCCATGAGCATCTTGGGTGCTTTGCTCACCTGAATATACTTAATGACCAGAGAATCTACACCTCACCCCTTAGGTTCAGCCTTACTACCTGTATTTTTAAGCATGTGCAGTAAAAATTCAGCACCCTTTTTGGGCCACCGACCTCGTGTCCAGCCCCACTGTTCAGCCTGGGCACATGTACCAACTCCACCACTGTAATGACAAAATGGCACACACTGCTTCTGCAGTGACATCCTTCAGATACTTGATAGCATTTCTGATATGCATACCATTGATGACCTGGGCAGTTTCACAAGTGTTCTTTCAATGAACACTAAGATTTGAACCTCTTGATTTGCATGACTTTGTGGTGTTCTCCAGGTCAAGTGAAAAACATCACTTCAGGCTGCTTAAGAGAAGAGGAAGAACCACCCAACAATTCATTCTCCTCTATTCTCCTTCTGGAATTTTGGGCACACACATGAATCAGGGTGATTTTCAAGCTCCCAGGACCAGGACTAGAACCATGTCAGCTGTGTGAGAGTCCAATACCTTAACCACAACACCACCTATTAGCCCTCCAAAATACTAACTTTTAATGAAGAATGATTCACTAAAAACCAAGTTTTGTATTCAAAGTCCTCTAATATAAGTAAATTTAACACTTTACTATGTATCCACATAACAAGTTAAATTTAAAACAGTCTATCATAGGAGCTGGCAAGTGGCATGGTGGTTAAAGGCGCTGGACCCCCACACAGCCAACCACGGTTCAAGTCTCAAACCTGGTGGCTTGCTTTCTCACTTCCTATTTCTCTGTCTCTCTCTGATCAAACTGGAAATAATAATAATAAATTAATAAAGTTAAATAAAATAATTCTAAAAAAAAAAAACAGTCTATCATAATATAATTTCTGGTCATCTCCTCTCAAGAAAAAAAGAACTGAAGAGCCAAGATTCAATACTAATCCAATAAACTAGAAAACCACATTTATATCTAAAAATGTTTAAACCAAGATTATACTTTTCTACCAAATTCTGGATTTAAAACTTAGTTGTACATTTCCCCAACTACACTTTAAACCTCATATACGACATTAACAATTATACGTAAGTCTCGGGAAGAATGAACATTGCATTTTTGATGACAACAATTGGGGGCCAAATTATACGTTATCTCATTATTAGACTACAGTCAAGCACAATAAACTTCACTGAAGAATAAACATTAGTTTCAAGATGGCCAAGCATATGGTTGATAAATCTAACTACACTACCTCAATGTGAAGACAGCTAAATGGGTTTATATTTCAGCAATGGAATGTCCAAAAAAGAAAAGTAAAACTTATTTTCTGAACCATAGTTGGCTAGTTGTACAGCTGAGGAGGTAGTTAGATATCACAAGTATTTCCTAAGAAGCTGGCCACACACTTGGCTATATTTTCATATAAAAAGCACAAAGGGAAAAAGGAAAAAAAAATTTTAAAAGTTTTTTTGAACTATCTTTTAAGAGGTTTTTTTTTGAGAGGTGTTTGCTATAGGCTTGTGCACTCGCCAGATAGACAGAGAGAGACAGAGAGACAGAAAGCAAGAAACCACCCCCCAGGAGAAATGGCCACGCTGCAATCCCTTTTCCTCCATTCTCCTCTCAGGATCTTGGGCACACGCACACACGCACCCAGCATGAGTTTAAGCCACTGGTCCTGGACTGGAACCGCGGTCACCTACATGGGAGTCCAGCAACACAGCCATTATGCCAACTGTTGGTCCTGAACTATCTTTAAGAATTTCAGGATGATTAACAAAGTGTCTAATTTCCATATTTTACTTTCCAGACTTGACAATAAGGAAGTTTTGGAAAATCAACTATAGTTCAATCTTCATATTTCCTGTACAGTAAGAACAAATAGTACCATAGAAAATTTAAAAACAAGGGCAGAGGCCGGACAGTAGCACAGTGGTGAAACACACCTCCTCAAGGCAACCCCATCTGGAAAGGTTTGCAGCTCAAGTCTGTGGACCTCTCTAAGCACACCAGGAGCACACACTTATTGTCAGGACAGCTAAAGGCTGGGGGTGGAAAAATATGGAGTAAGAGCGAATGGTAGAAACTGATTAGAGAAAATATCCTCGGGGGCTAGCAGGTGGAGTCACCAGTGAAGGTGCTGTATAGTCCCACATGGCCGATCATGGGTCAAGTCCTGGACCTGGTGGCTTGCTTTCTCACTTTCTCTCTACTTGAATTTAAAAAAACGGATAAGTAAAATTAAATAATTCTTAAAAGAATAAAAAAGAGAAAATATCCTCATCCCACATTTACAAACTTTTGAATGCTTCTTTGCAGCCATTTGACAATTAGATTCCTAAACCTATTCAACGAAGTTCCTTATTATCATTATGACACTGGTTTCTTTCATATAAGTTTTCCTTATATCATATTTTCCGTGCCTATCAAATTCGCAGATGTGAAATGAGAGCCCTCTCATACCATGAGTAACCAGAGAACACCCTTAAATATTTTGAAAATTAATTTATAAATTTGTGATTAATTAGATGAAGCATGCTTTCAAACAGCATGCCAAGCATGATCATTAGATAAGCAAATCATTACATAACACTCGTTTTAGGTCCTTCGATTAAGTACTCTACAACCCGTAAAGAGTGTTTCATTATTTTTTAAGAACAAGCATTGGCCAAGCTGCAATTTTTCAAGACTGCTTTTCCTCCCTCAGGAGAGAAGGCAGCCTTCCTAAATTCCAAATTTCTAGGAATATGACAACTGCTTCTCTAGAGAATACAGAATGGGGGGAAAAATAATACTGTCAGCAATTTAAGATCCATCTATCCGTGGAAGCAGTGATCGAGGCAGACAGGACATTCCAGGCTTCACAGAAAGTACACACCACGCTGACAACATCAGAAGAGGGCCAGGGGACGCAAGCAATGCCATCTTGCATCTGACGTCGTGCTGACATCGATTTCAAACTTAACTCCCACCCGTTATCTCCGCGTATCTTCACGACTGTCTTAGGCAGGTAAGGCCCAGCCTCCAAGGGGCACACAGCCCGGTTAAAGGACACGCACCCCGCTGCCCCTGCGACTGCACAACAAAAGTGAGGGCCAGCCCTCCCAGGGTCCAGGAAGAGTACTCTAGAAAAAGAGGGTTATCGTCTAGACAACCCAAACTTAAAGCATCCAAGGAGTGTCCCCCGCTCCGCGCAGTTTCGCTAACTCCGGCCCCTGAAGACCGCGTCCGAGCCGCGCGGGGGGGAGGGGGCAGACGCGGGACGCCTGCAGCCCCTCACCCCGCACACCCCGCCGGCAGCCCCTCCCCCCGCACACCTGGCCGGGGCGGAGGGCGCGACGGCGCTCAGGGGACAGCAGCTGGTGACACCCCCCTCGCCAGCTCCGCAGCTCCGACTCACTCACCTGCGGAGCCGATTTCCATTCATGGAGCTGGGGGTAGTGCTTCAAGCGAGAACGGCACCCGCCCCAGAGGGCAAGGAGGCGACTTGGGGGACGATGCGGGGCGACCGGCACCCCCGCTCGGCCCCAAGGCGGGAGCGGCGACGGCTTTCCCTCCGCCGCCGCCCCCCCAAAG